CCTAATAAATTGTAGTGTATTTATATTAATATTATTATCTACAACTCTCTCCTCATATAATCTTATAAATTCTTTATGCTTTACTTTATTGGCAGTAAAGATAATAGGCAGTGAAGCTTTAAAAATATCTGGGCCTAGCAGTGGACACTACCACTTACGACGTGATCTTAACATTTCTGTGTCTCTATTTCTTCCGTCCCACTAAAAAAAAGGGGGTAGAGATTATAATTATCAGTGTTGTTGGACTACTAGATGGACTATCTCAGTTCTTTTGTCTAAATTTCTATTGTTCCAGTACACATTTTTAGTTGGTTTAACTTAGGTTTCACCCATGAGTAAAGTTACACTAATAGATCATAGAAATGGAAGGAATGGTTCAGTATTCTAATGCATTTCCATACACAGCTCTTTCATATAACCAATCTCTATCACTCGTGTACTTGTTCAGTGACAATATTGTGCCTTTAAAAATAAGCTTTTAGTTTTTTAAAGAATTATTTTATTTTAACTTTACTTATTATTATCATTATTATTTTCCAGTTTGATCAGAGAGAGAGAGAGAGAGAGGAAGTGAGAAAGCAAGCCACCAGGTCCAAGACTTGAACCGTGGTCGGCCATGTGAGAGTCCAGCGCCTTTAACCACCATGCCACTTGCCAGCCCCAATGAGCTTTTATTTTTTAACTGCAAGTAAGTGATAGCAAGAGAGACACCACCACCACCAGGGTTCCTGTGCCACACTCTTCCCCCATCTTAGACAGCCTATCATGGGCACATGCATGCTTACCTGACATGATCAAGGAGGTTTCAGAATGTAAACCCAGGGCCTTTCTCATATGGCTCCAGTTGCACTACTGCTACACCAGCCTTTGACCATTGATTGATTGATTGATTGATTGGCAGAGTCCTTGCATGTTGCATTCCTCCTGCCTCAGTTTTGCAGCTGGGTACAGAAATGAACCATCACTCTGGCTCTTTTGTACACCAGATTTTGTGCACTGTGTTGCCCAGGACAACCACGAGTTCACAGTGTCACTGTTGTTGGGAATTGAAGGGAGTCACCATGGAGCTTGGCCTTTAGGTTGGACTTGGAATTGAACCTATGTCTCCCATGTGATACCTGGGGAGCTCAGCATCTTACCAGCACATGTCATTTAAGCTGGGCTTTAAACTATTTTCTTAAATTTATTTCATAAAATTCAGTTGGGAACTCGTCAGCACTCACCTCTTTTTAATTATTTTTTTTCTGTGAAGTTTGATTTGACATATCTGATATTAGCAATGCATCTGTATCTTCAAATGAACATCAATAACTCAAAAACACAAACTGTTTTGGTAAAATGAAAAGGCGTATGGTTTCTACAGCATTCTCCCACATATACACATTCTTTTGAACACAAAAATTACCATGCTTTTGTTACTACTTACTTTTTACTTCTATTTACATGTCACACAGTCCTGAATGACTAAAAAAATTAATTTTATTTATTACTTTGGAAGTTGGTAATAAATAAACATAATCTACTCTGAATATTGGCAGATGGCTATTATAGAGCTTATTAGGTAAAGCCTCAGAGCTTTTAGGATTCTCAAATAGAATTGTGTTGATTTGAACAATTTTTTTTAAATGAGATTTTTTGCCACAGGGTGTGTGCACTCACTGGAGAGATAGAGACAGTGAGAGAGAAAGTGAGAAATCACCCCCAGGGAAGATGCCCACACCAAAACCCCTTTTCTCCATTCTCTTTCTAGGATTTTGGGCACATATGCACATGCACATCCACATGCCCCCCGGTGTGATTTTCAAGCTGCCAGGTCCAGGATTCAAAGCACAGAGTTAGTCATGTGGGAGATATAAACAGGGCAGAAAAAAATATACTACTGTCTACTAGGTGAATGCAAACTACTACATTTTATCTGTTTATTGAGATAGTGAAAAATTCTCAGATCAAGCCCTACCCAGCAGGTATCGGGCAGTGACCGTCCTTATGGAAAGAAACTACATATGGAACAGCAGCATGATGTAATTGAAAACACCACCTGATTAAATTTATGATAATTCACTGCTATTCTCCAAGATCTTTCTACCCTTTGCACAGTTAATATAGGCAAATTAACTGGGCAAATGATAGGAATTTCTACCAATGCATATTTTAATACTTTAATTGAGTACTGAGCTCTGTGAATCCTCCAGGTGAACAAATGGATCAAACCACCTTTAGGAAGGTAGTTTATAGCAATAGTTCCCTAAACCACAGAGCCACCAGGGTAACTGCTCTTCTGCCATGATTATGATCCTTCTTAAGGGTCAGGTGGTGGTGCAGTGATAATGCTGCTAGACTCACATGGGAAAGTTCCTGGGTTTGCATCCAAAGACCTCACTGTGCATGCTGAATGCACATATGCATGTATGCCTATGATTTAGGCTGGCCGAGACTGGGAGTGGATAATGGCATGGAGAATTTGTGGAGGTGCATTCCCTCTCTCTCTTTCTCCTGGAAGAAATACGCTTTAAAAAAGTGTGCATGTATATATCAATATATATATGTGTACATGTGTGTGTGTGTGTGTGTGTGTGTGTGTGTATACACATAAGTAGCCTTTGGACCAGTTGCAGGATGAGCCAGGATAAGCTAGAATCATAGCCCACAACCTTATTAATAAAAATCATGTCCTATGCCTATTTCTCTTCCTCTGTAAAGTACTTCTAAATCAAAGGCTCAACTTCTGATTGACAGAACTCAATTCATATCCAAAATCCTAATTGCAGGGAAATTGGAGTAAATTATGTCCAGCTCTTCAGACTCTGAAATACAGGAAATTGTGATAGAAAATAATTGGCATCAGGGCTGGCAGGTGGTTAGGTTGCTGGACTCCCACATGGCCAGCTGTGATTTGAATCCTGGACTGAGTGGCTTTGTTTCACTTTTCCCCC